AAAAAAAAAACTAAGATCATGGCCACTGGTCCCACCACCTCCTGGGAAATAGAAGGGGAAGATATGGAGGAAGTGACAGAATTTACTTTATTGGACTCCATGATCATGGCAGATGGTGACAGCAGCCACGAAATTAAAAGACGCCTGCTTCTTCGGAGGAAAGCGATGACAAACCTTGACAGCATCTTAAAAAGCAGAGACATCACCTTGCTAACAAAAGTCCAAATAGTCAAAACTATGGTTTTTCCTGTAGTGATGTATGGAGCTGAGAGCTGGACCATAAAGAAAGCTGACCGCCGAAGAATTGATGCCTTTGAATTGTGGTGCTGGAGGAGGCTCTTGAGAGTCCCCTGGACTGCAAGGAGAACAAACCTCTCAGTTCTAAAGGAAATCAACCCTGAATGCTCCCTGGAAGGACAGATCCTGAAGCTGAGGCTCCAGTACTTTGGCCATCTCATGACAAGAGAAGACTCCTTGGAAAAGACCTTGATGTTGGGAAAGTGTGAAGGCAAGAGGACAAGGGGATGGCTGGACAGTGGATGGCTGGACAGTGTCTGCGAAGCCACCAACATGAATTTGACACAACTCCGGGAGGCAGTGGAAGATAGGAGGGCCTGGCGTGCTCTGGTCCATGGGGTCACGAAGAGTCGGACACGACTAAATGACTAAACGACGACGATAATTCGTTAACTGCCATGCAGTGCAAAGCATGGGGAGGGGGAGGTTTTATACCAGTGTCAGAACACAAGCTTTCCATGCAATAGGTCCTGGGTTCAAGTCTCGACATTTTTGCTTGTGAGCACATAATGCAAGACAGGCACGTGGGCATGCACTTTAATTGGCCAGTGCCCTGTTCAGTATGTATTTACTCCAGTTATGGAACTTGCCATGTGAAATGGATGAGGTGCCCTTTGAACACCCAGTCACACAAGTGCATGAATATTTAACAGGATCCTGGCCACTGAAGCCTTAGAAGATAGCTTTAGGAAAGAGAATGTGACTATGCCCAAGACATCCCAACCAACATTCTCTCTTGGACACACAACATCCAAGGCTGCCTTAAATGCCACGTTGGACTCTGGGTGCATGTAGCTCAGCACTGTTGACACTGATGGGCAGTGGTCCTCAGGTTTTGGACAGGGGTGGTGGTCTTTCCAGCCATCGCCAGAGATGTTGGGCCTGACTCCTGTTCTATCCCTGGGCAGAGCACAGCCACTGCTTCAAGGCCACTGATGCCAAGAGGGTAATGTAGGCATTGGAGGCCTGTCCAGCATCCCCTGAGCTTGCCTGGTGCCCTCAGGCACAGAGGTACAGTTGTGTTCAAAATTATTCAGCCCCCAATGCTGTAAAGGGGTTTAGGGACTATAGTGTACATTTGGAATTGTATTCAGAATGAAATCCTACAAGGACGTTTTAAAGAACCAAATGCAACTAAAATAACATCAATTGTTTATGTAATACAGTAGTAAATGTTTCTTTTGTGGTTTCTTCATTGCCACAATTATTCAACCCCTTAAAGACTACCACTCTGAAGAAGAGAGGTTCATTCAGGTGTTTTCGATCAGGTATTGAAAACACCTGTGGATGTCACCGAGCACCAATCAAGCATAATAAGCACCAATTAGGCAGCTTTAAAATGACTGTGATACTCAGCTCCTTCTAGACATTTACTGGTGTGGTTACAAACATGGTGAAGTCAAGAGAATGGTCCAGGAAGGCAAGAGAAGAGGTGATTTGTCTTCACAGGAAGGGCAATGGCTATAAGAAGATTGCAAAGAAGTTAAACATACCAAGAGACACCATAGGAAGCATCATTCGCAAATTCAAGGCAAAGGGCACTGTTGAAATGCTACCTGGTCGTGGAAGAAAGAAGATGCTGACTTCGACTGCTGTGCGCTACCTAAAGCGTAGAGTGGTGAAAAGTCCCCGTGTGACTGCTGAGGAACTGAAAAAAGATTTGTCAGATGTGGGTATAGAAGTTTCAGCTCAGACAATAAGGCGCACACTGCGTAATGAAGGTCTCCATGCCAGAACCCCCAGGCGCACCCCCTTGCTGTCTCCCAAGAATAAGAAGAGTCGACTGCAGTATGCCAAAAGTCATGTGGGCAAACCACAAAAGTTGTGGGATAGTGTTCTGTGGACTGATGAAACAAAATTAGAACTGTTTGGGCCCATGGATCAACGCTATGTTTGGAGGGGGAAGAACAAGGCATATGACGAAAAGAACACCTTGCCTACTGTGAAGCATGGCGGAGGGTCAATAATGCTTTGGGGCTGTTTTGCTTCTGCAGGTACAGGGAAGCTTCAGCGTGTACAAGGTACCATGAATTCTCTTCAGTACCAGGAGATATTGGATGAAAATGTGATGCAGTCCGTCACACACCTGAGGCTTGGGAGACGTTGGACCTTTCAACAGGACAATGATCCCAAGCATACCTCCAAGTCCACTAGAGCATGGTTGCAGAGGAAAGGCTGGAACATTTTGGAGTGGCCATCGCAGTCACCAGACTTAAATCCGATTGAGAACCTCTGGTGGGACTTAAAGAAAGCAGTTGCAGTGCGCAAGCCTAAGAATTTGACTGAACTGGAGGCTTTTGCCCATGAAGAATGGGTGAAGATACCCGTAGATCGCTGCAAGACACTTGTGTCATGCTATGCTTCACGTTTAAAAGCTGTTATAACTGTAAAAGGATGTTGTACTAAGTACTAAGATTGAATGTCACTTGGGGGTTGAATAAAAACTAATAATGATGTGAGCACAGAAAAGACATTTGTGGTTATTTCATTATAAACTTAAGGTTATATTTCTCTGACCTACAAGTGCCTCTTTCATGTAAATGTAAGCAAGATGACTGAATGATCAAAATCAATGTCAAAATGGCCAAAACATTCAATTTCAGTGGGGGCTGAATAATTTTGAACACAACTGTAGACATTTGCCCTTGTCAGTTCAAAGCAAAGATTATTTTGTACATAGAACAAGCAGTATCGGGTCTTGCCCCATCGAGGGCAAAATGTCTTGATCTAGTCTTGTCATTCTGCATGGAAAGCATCTGCCCTGTCACTGAGCTAGGGTCTCCTCCACCCTGGCTGCCATTTACCACATGGCAAATGACAACTTAGTGTGGATGATAATAACGTGCAGTAAAGTCACTTGGGGTTTTCCCAGGTACGTACAGAGTACTGATGTGGGGGGGGGCACTGCATTGGAAACACTATGAAATCTCTCTTCATGCTGGTTCCTTCACACATAGATGCTGCTTCTTAACACTTGATCCATAGGGGCAGGGGCAGGCAGGGACAAACCAGGTCATGAGAACCCTTATTCGGGGAAAATCTGAACTTCCATTTAGACATCTTCAAAAGATTTTCAATAGGACTCTTTATTCATTAAGAAGCCTGTAGGGGAGGCAACACTCACTGAAACCCTACAAGAGGTTTCGTTTTATATGTGCATAGTGCACCCACGCACACACACACACACACACACACACACACACAGAGAGAGAGAGAGAGAGAGAGAGAGAGAGAGAGTGAGAGAGAGAGAGTTAAGAAATAGAATCTATGTGTAAGGGAACCAGCACATTATGGCAGGGTCTTTCTGTCCATTTTCCTCCCTGCAGCCAAAATTCAGGAACTGGAATGCCTTTAGGAAAGAGAAAATCTATCCAGTTTAAACTTTAGCCTGCATATACAGGCTAAAGTTTAAACTGGACAGATTTTCTCTTTCCTAAAGGCATTCCATATATGTATTTAACAGGATCCTGGCCACTGAAGCCTTAGAAGATAGCTTTAGGAAAGAGAATGTGACTATGCCCAAGACACCCAAATCAATGTTCGCTCTTGGGACACATAACATCCAAGGCTGCCTTAAATGCCATTTTGGACTCTGGGTGCATGTAGTTCAGTACTGTTGACACTGACACTCCACCGGGCTCCACGAAGCCCGCATGCCTCTCACGCATCGGCCCCGGTGGATACAGATTCTCAAGCTCAGCTGCTGAGACAGAATATATATATGGTTTCTTTATGGTTTTTTATATATGGTTTTTATATGGCACACTCATTTATTCATACCTAAAATACGCTGTCTTGTAGGCTGATGTTTGTTTCTGTAACTTCGGGATTTTTGAAGACGGAGCTTGAAGGATTGTTACTTGTAAGTCCTAATGAACTGAATGAGGTTTACTTTTAAGTAAACATACTTCGGATTTCACTGCCGTTTTTCATATTGGCTCTCTGTTTTTAACAGACATGTGTCACTTCAGGTACTGTTTAAGGGAAACTGATCTCAGATATAACTTAGTAAATATATTAAAAGACAAAAGCAAAACAAAACACAAGAAGCCAAAGGAACTGATCAGTCCACGTAAGAGCATGCTGACCAAGGAAAGCAATCTCTTATAAAACAGATACATGTATAAAGAATAAAAGTGCACAGTACTGCACTGATTTTCCAGCTACTGTCACTTCGCATCCTGCTTGTAGACATCCTAGATATTCTGGGGAGTTGCAGAAGTATGAAACAAGTCTTCAACAATGCAGTGTATCATTTCAATACTTTGAAGGGGTTAAAGGGTGAGAAAAGGGGTAAAGAAGTCATAGCAGAAACATGATACAGAAGGCACTTGTAAAAGTGTTTGGTAGATGTCTCTGTTCTGTGAGGACATTTTACCAGAGTTGGCTCATGCTTGAGTATCAGCAAAGCAAAGGACACCAAATCTGACTTCCACTCACCCACTTGAAGTGGTTCACAGGCTTTCTCTGGATTATTTCCTATTTGGCATCTAAAAATTGCACCCGGGTTCACCACTGAAGCGTTTGTGGACCAGTTGGCTTTAGGGGCTCCCACTACAAGCCTAAAGAAGAAAAGCAAGGATTATAAAAAGACAGCAAGAAATCGAGTCCATTAACTGGTGATGGGAGAGGCATTCACTAGCATTCTTCCTAGGACCCAAAGCGGTAAGTGACAAGGCAAATTTGAAATGGAAGGTGCTAGTCCACAAGAAGGTACTAACATAGATGTATTTCCCCCACTAACAGCACCTAGGAAATTGGGCAGAAGGGTGGTGAGGCATGGAGTGAAGGCATAGAGAGTATATTCGAGACAAAATCAAGTCAAAACAACATTGATCATTAGGCAAGGCCTCTTTTATTAGGTGGCAACCAACATGCCTCAAGACAACATGCAAGTTCTCCCCAATTCCTCATCAGTCTTAGCAAAACAACTGCTGAGGAAGACGCAGGCTTCCAAACAACGCCAAGACATGCACATTTATTTCTGGATCTTCACGCTTAGTCTAAATAAAATAATTGCAGAACTGTGGCATTCGAATTATTATTTTTTCCTCATGGACCAGAGTAAGGCTCCTACAGACAAAACGGAAAAGAAAACGAAGGATCAAGTCAACCTCGAACTTTAGAAAGCCGGGCAAGCGCTCCAAGAGGAGAGACCCGGTTGGGCTGCGAACAAAAGCCATTCCTCCGCCTATAAGGCGCGGGCTTTTGGTGGTTTGTGTTCCGAAGAGCCAGGCAGGCACCAGCGGGCCCGGGCAGGGGCGGGGCGCCTTACTCACCAGCGGCGGGGGCCCAGGCTGTGCAGCAGCACCGAGTAGCCGAACAAGGTCCCGTTGAGCCCCCCGAAGACCAGCGGGCTCCACGGGTCCAGGTTGTAAGGCTGCGCAGCCCGGAGGGCGCAGCTGAGGAGGA